AGTGCTACCATAAATGCAAAGATAAGTAGGCGCGTCTTAGACAGGCAATGCTCGACGCGCGGTTACCCTGTAAGGACTTAAGGATTTTCTGAGGGAAACATCCAAATTAAGCAGACTATAGCTGCTGTACTCAGTTGATGCATTGTCCAAGCGAGAATGTAGAAAGGACTATGAGGAAGTTCGGAACTGCCAGAAATACTTGGGTTTCTTATAATAGAACCTATAATCTGTAAACTACTCGTTTAGTTATTTTGTTATAGTTATTATATTATAACGCTGGTAATACATCAACATTTTGGTGCACTAGAACTTAGAGCTACTTCGGAGGGTAAGATTGACATTCCTTTACTATTAAGAACTAGTAAAAAGTTGAAAAATAAATGTTATCATATGCAATCTGTATCTTTATCGATATTTCAATTTCAATTTATTTCACTCTTTGTTATACGAGTAACTACATGATTTTGTGAATGGTATTTTACAATATTTTAAGAGTTTAGGCTAATACATAGTCCTTCTCTGCTAAGATATTTATTTACATAAATGACATATGGATATATGTCATAACATTATTATTTGGGGAAAATAAGAAAAAAATAGAAAATCCCATGAAAATGTACTACAAACTAAATTAAATTAAACTAAACTCTAAACAATAAAAACTACAAGTCTATGCCAGGTTGTTTATATGTGAAAATGATGATGACACTGACACTTTCTCTTTATCGATAAATATCGAATTTGTACAAAGACTTTCTTTTTTTCAACCTTCTCTTTCATTTTCTATGCCCTCTCCTAGCTTGTCGTCTAAACTCTTCTAGATCCATTTCTATACTCTCTTATTTATATAATAATAAACCCTTCTTGGGGCTATTTATTGTATTGACAGTCGATATTCACACTGATTAATTGTGTATATACACGAAGAGAAAGCAGTCAACATATACATATATATTTTTATATACATCGACATATTGAATGGAGTACAAACGCTTTTGTTTATTGCAACCACCGTCCACACCGCCCCAATGCAAACAGGGTATATTAAAAGATATAAGGGCCTTCTATGGACAAAAAAAAAAAAGAAAAAGTCGGGAGCTCATATTGTCTACTGTATGGATGGCGCTTTGCTATCGGAGCTATTGGGGATAATGAGCGAGCGAGCGAATGGCATTATGCAAATTAGCCCCTAATTGGGGCTGGCACGCGCCTCCGTCCCTTCATATCTCCGTCCGTGCGTCCTTCCGTCCGATCGTCCCTCCGGCTGGCTGTCTGTTCGTCAGTCTAAATAGGCCAAGTTGATTTGATTATTGAAGAGGCGCCGCCAGGGGCGTGGCAGGGAGCTCACTCACAAAAATTGATGTGCGAAGCGTGCTAATCAGCAGCCTGAGGACTGCCGAGTGACGACTGCCAACAGGCGATTGGCAATTGGCGAACTGGAATTAGTTGACCACATTATTGAGCTTAGCGCCGAATTGGACTTAAGTCACAATTATGATTAACTGCCAGCTGCGTTGACAGGCCCCAAAACAGCAATTGGCTAAGGACTTAACAAATGAAGCGTTCGCCCATCAATTAAACTCGCGTAAAACCCCTGGGAATAGAGATGGAGTAAGCACTTTAACGAAGAGGTCAGCTTTAACAAGGTCATTATTTTTACTGCCCAGTGCGAGTCTTTGGAGAACTACAAACACATGCTCACATTACTTACATATGAAAAGTTTCTCTTCAAATGTCGCATTTTTCTGTGGCCCACCACATTTTCCCCAAGAGGAAAGTGATTTTCATTTGAGCAGGAGTCGAGTATTAATGTTTGTGTCAATAAGTCATCAAATTCTATGAATCTTCAACTAGCTTTGTCAAAGGTCAAAGGTCATTTGTCATTATGTTACTCCATAGCTTCGACCAAGCATGCCAGACAAAGAGACCTATTCAATTTCTAATGGAAGACAAGCACTCAGCCATGCCAGCCTAGCAATTATAATGAGCGCAAAGCTAGCCGAAACAATTGTGTGGATAGTTTCGAATAACAATGACAATGCTGTAAATATATTATGTCGTTATTACTGGTAGAGTCGTTGGTAGGACTAAAGTTTTCCGTGCTCTGCAGCTGGCAGTGCGTCAAAAGTTTTACAACTAAAATCCAATCATGTTTGGCTTGGGGCTCTACTGCTTTCAAGTCAAGAAATATAATCATTTGTTAAGCTTTAGTTCAGCTCAGCTCAGCTCAGCTCAGTTCAGTTCAGTTCAAAGAGCTTAAGTGTTAAATAAGATTTGTAAGCTCGCCAAAAGAGAAACGAACAGATGGAGTAGTAAATGCTCATGGCGATAGCACCTCACACTTTTATACTTTATGAGTCAGAGTCATTCAATTCTATGCAGAATTCAATTCATATTCGTAAAAGAGTGAGGGCTCTCCCTAACTTAAAGATGCTCTGAGAGTCCCGCTGAGCTGTTTTATCAAAGATTCTGCTCACATTTAGCCAATATATGCATATATGTATACATACACATATACTATCTAGAGAAAAGTGCAGGTAGTCCTTAAATAATTTCGGGCTACTCCTGTTTTGGTTCTTAAGATCCAAAACTTTTCACGCCAAGCCAAGCTAAAAGAAGTACATATACATATAATAGAATATGCACCCCGTGGACATGTTCAAGCTCGATGCACCAATGACACATTGGCGTATTTATTCACATTTTCAACTCTTCAAATGCTTTGCATTTATGAGGACAGACAGACAGACAGATACGATATACTCTATTCACCACGTAAACGACCATAAAGAATACGCCACT